ATCGTGTAAAAGCACTCATCTTCCTTCGTCACCATCTTTACGATAGATTAAAAATTGAATACCTCACTAAGAAAGATCTACAAGTTCTTTAAAAAAATTAACTGAAAGATTTGATCATTAGAGGACTATAGTCCTCCCCAATGTCCGCTATGAGTGGATACACCTTCGTTTGTAAGATTTTAAAACTGTTAGCGACTACAATTTTGAATTGTTCAGAATATGTTCAAAGTTAACTTTGTGTAGAGAAAAAATTACCGATGAAGATATGTTTGAGAAAACTTTTTCCACCTTTTACGCCTCGAATGTGCTCTTGCTGTAGCAATATCGTGAGCATGGTTTCAAGAAGTATTTAAAACTTATATCTTGCTTGCTAGTCGCTGAACAAAGTAATGAACTGTTGATGAAAAATCATAGGTTACGTCCAACCTAAAGCAAATGGAACTGCATTACCTGAAGTACATGCAATATCAAAATAAGGATGTGGACGTGGACGTGGACGTAGACATAGATGTGCTTGTGGAATAAATCATGGAAGAAATAATCAACTAAATTATCAACAACAAAACAATAATTTCAAAAGGTACAAATCAAATGAAAGCAGCACATCTAAAAATGAGCATGAAAAATTTGTTTTAGATATGGAATGAAAGGGCATTGGGTACGTACTTATCGTACGACAAAACGTGTCGTGGATCTCTACCAAAAATTTATCAAGGGAAAGGAAAAAATAGAGACAAATTTTGCTGATTATGATGATCCAATTGATGTGAATTCTTTGGATATCTCCGATTTTTTTGTTGATCCAAATGAGAATATTGGCCATCTGATTAAGGGCAGTGTGATGGAAGATATATATTAGTTTATTTTCTATGTCTCAAGTATTTCCTTTTATTTTGAAATATGTTTTTACTTTTCATATAAAAGTTTTGAACTTTATTATGTATCATTAATTTCATAGTACTAAATTTTGTTAACCCTTTTTTAAAATTTAAATTCAAGTTTTTTTTAAAATATATTTACTTTTTTTATTTAGAGATTCATGATGGATTATCAAAACACATTGATAGTGCAACTACACATACTATTTTTCAAGACAAAAAAATATTTTTTGGACTTAATATTAGCAGAAAATAATGTTCATACGATATCTGGAGTATCGAATATCATTGAAAGCTCCGAAAGAGCTTGTATTATTTTACTAAATAATACAAAATTATATATTGATGATACACTTTATTCTAGTAAATTCAGAAAAAATTTGTTTAGTTTTAAAGATATCCACTACAATGGATATCATATTGAATATCTTTGCATAGCTTTTTTGTATATGACAAGAAGTAGATAAAAGAAAATTTTCATACGCTCCCATTTGGCATGTATTATACATTTATAAAAATGATTGAATCAAATAATGCACGAACCAGAAGTTCGTTGAGCCAAAAAAATTTATAGTTTGGCATGATCGACTTGACATCCAAGAGGTATAATGATGCGACGAATAATAAATAACTCATATGGACATCCTTTAAAGAATTAAAAAATTCTTTTACCTAATGTTTTTTCACATGCAGCTTGTTCGTAAGGCACGTTAGTCATTAGACCCTCGACTATAAATGTCAATATTAAATCTCCAACTTTCTTGTAAAGAATTCCTGGAGATATGTGTGAGCTAATACACTCACCATGGAGACCATTTCGTTATTTTATGATATTAATTGATTCTTCTACTAAATGGTTATATGTTTACCTGTTTTTCCACTAGGAATGTAGCATTTACTAGGCTACTTGCTCAAATTATAAAATTACAAGCACAATTTTTCGATTACTCAGTTAAGACTATTCGCCTTGACAATAATGATGAATTTAGATCACAAATATTCGATAATTATTGTATGTCAATCGAGATTGTATTTGAACATTCAATTGCGCATCTCCATACACAAAATAGTTTAACATAGTCGTTTATTAAGCGTCTACAACTTATTACTAGACCATTACTTATGAAACAAAGCTCTCAACTTCTGTTTGGGATTATGTCATATTATATGCTGCATCATTAATTCGTATAAAACCAACTGCTTATTATTAATATTCACCTTTACAACTTGCATTTGGTCATAAACCTGATATTTCTCACCTACAAATTTTTTTTTTGTGCTGTCCAAGTCCCTATTTTACCCCCCCCCCACACACATGCTAAAATGGGTCTCTAATGAAGACTTGAAATTTAGGTCGGTTTTGATTTACCATCAATCATCAGGTATCCTGAGCCTTTAATGAGTGGTTTATTTACTGCACGTTTTGTAGACTATCATTTTGATGAAATAACTTTCCCAACTTTAGGAGGGGAAAAACTACATTCTGAAAAACAAGGTAAAATATCTTGGAATGAGACAACCGTATCTCATTTTGATCCCCGCAGTACGTTGAAAAATCAATCATTTGCAAAGAGTTGCAAATCAATTACATGATGCATTGTTGACACAAGAAAAGTGATAAAATTATATATACCGACAGAAAATATTCTAGCAAAAATTAATGTCCCTGTATGATAATCTATTGTAGCAAATAAATCTCGAATACGTCGAAAAGCATGGTCGAGCAGTTGGTTCAAAAGACTCTATACCTCGAAAAAGAAAAGTACAAGAGAAAAATCAACCAAAAACTTCGAAAGAAGTCACATTAGAAAAGATTGATCAATCAGATATTAAAAATATGGTTCCTAAAGAACCAAAAGTGTTCGAAAATAATGAGATTTCAACAAATTATATGTGATCTCATAATTTATGGAAACGAAATAATGTTGTTATAGATAATATTTTCACTTTTAATGTAGCTCTTGATATTATGCAAAATGAGGATCCTGAACCACAATTGGTTAAAGACTGTCAAAAAAAAATGATTGGTCAAAATGGAAGAAGTCATACAGGCAAAATTGAATTTTTTGGAGAAATGAAAAGTGTTTGGACTAATTGTTCGAACACTTGAAAATGTAATCCCTTTTGAGAAATAAAAATAATGAAATTACAAGATACAAAACCCGACTCGTAGCTTAAGGTTTCTTACAACGAGCAGGAATTGATTATAAGGAAACATATTCTCTCATAATGGATACCATCATTTTTAGATTCTTAATTAGTTTGACTGTATTACAAAAGTTTGATATCTGCCTTATGGATATAGTAATTGCCTATTTGTACGGTTCACTTGATAGTGACATATATATGAGAATTCCCAAAGGACATAAAGTGCCACGAACAAATGATACATGCCCGAGAACCATGTTTCAATTAAATTGCAAAGATCATTATATGAATTAAAATAATACGGACACATGTAGTATAATTGTCTTAGCAAATTTTTGTTGAATGGAAATTATAAAAATGATGATGTCTACCCATATGTTTTCAGAAAGAAAGCAGATATCGGATTTGCAATTGTGACAGTTTACGTTGATGATTTAAATTTAATTAGAATTCCTGAATAGCTCAAAAAAATTGCAAATTATTTGAAAAATGAATTTGAAATGAAGGATTTGGGAAAAACTAAATTTTATCTCGGATTGCAGAGTGAACATTTGCTCACCAATCTACGTATACAAAAAATGTTTTAAAACATTTTTATATGGATAATGTACACTTATTGGCATTACGTATGGTTGTTTGATCACTTGATGTGAAAAAAGATCCATTTTCGTCCACTTAAAGATGGAAAAAAGGTTTGTGGTCCTGAAGTAACATATCTTAGTGCAATTAGAGCATTAACTTATCATGTAAATTGCACTCGACCTGATATAGCTTTTTCTGTAAATTTCCCTGCGAAATATAGCTCTACACTAACTCTAAGACAATGAAATGGTGTTAAACATATTTTTCGTTACCTTAAGGTCAAAATTGATTTGGAATTATTTTATTCTCAAAAGCCAGGATCTACTTTACTGGGATATGCAGATGCAGGTTATCAATCTGACCCACATAAAGCTAAGCCACAAACAAGTTATGTGTTTACAGGCGGAGAAACAGCTATTTCATAGATCTGTGAAGCAATCCTTGACAGCTACATCCTCAATCGTTCTGAAATTACTGCAATCCATGAAGCAGGCCGACAATGTGTATGGTTGAGAAACATGACCCATCATATCCAAGCATCATGCGGGTTAACTTCAATAAAAAATAGTCTAACAATTTTATATGAAGACAACGCAGCTTGTATTGCACAACTTAAAAGAGGCTATATCAAATATGATAGGATAAAACATATTTCTCCAAAATTCTTTTATACATATGAGCTTCTAAAAAATGGGGACATCGATATCCGAGAAATTCGCTTAAGTGACAATGTGGTAGATTTATTCACAAAAACATTGCCATCATCTACATTCAAGAAATTGGTTCAAAGTATTGGAATGTATTGATTCAAAGATCTTCAGTGATTTTCATCAAAGGAGTAGGTATACTCTTTTTCCTTACTCTAGGTTTTGTCCTACTGAATTTTCCTAGCAAGATTTTAATGAGGCGGCATTTTCTTTATATCTTTGTTTGATTTTTTTCCCCTTTAGGTTTTTACTAAACAAGATTTTTAACGAGGCAGTTATTGTACAAATAATCATCAAAGGAGAGTGTTGTAAAATAATGAAATAATTATTGACGATTAGTTAGTATTATCATGATACATGAGTAAGTTTTATCTATTTTAGAAGATCTATTTTATTCCAATTGTAACTTTTATTTTGAACCTTATAAATATAGGGTATTGGTTCATAATAATACACAATTGAGTTTTGACTCTCTATTTCTTCTTTTATTTTCTCTCTTTCCTTTAATTTCATAACACTCATTATTTTACAACATATACACCGATTTTTAGTGATTTAAAAATAATCAAAAATCAGTGAAAAGAAATTAGCAAGTATTAGACCATCGACAATGAACCTAACACAGTAAATATGGATAAAAAGAGTATCAAAAAAAAAAGTTTTAAAAAAAAAAAAAAAAAAAAAAAAAAAATCCCAAAGAGGCCCTAAATTGCAAAAAAAATAGAGAGGTGGGCATCCCACACTTCGCGAGGACAAAAATAGAAAATTCGTCGCAGCAAAATCTGAAAGACTCATAAATGTGGAGAGACAAGAGTCCTGGCGTCAAGATCCTCTGGCTTTGGACCTTCGGAACTGCAGCTGGTAATTCCACCTCCATCGATATACATATGTGTGTATGAATTAGTGATTGTGATTGAATTTACCGTCTGATTCATTTGCAGTTTTGGTGGCCAATGTTATGAGAACCAGAATACGAGACATGGAGCAACTCATTAACGCCCAAGATCAAGCCTCCCATACTACAGACTCACTTTCCGACGAGAAAAACTCATGGGATTCTGCTGAAGTGATTGAAGAGAAATCATAGTGTGTTCTTGCTATCCTCAGTTGCTGCTTGTAAGATTTTGAATATGGTATAAGGTGTTTGATAAGTTGCCTGAATGGGTTTTTGAATATGGTTTAAAGGTGTTTTATCAGTTGCCTGAATGAGTTTTTGATTCTGGTATAAGGTGTTTGTTGAATTGCCTGACATGGTGTGTTTGGCTGCAATGCATGATGCATTTCAATTTTTTTTGACTTTTCTGTTCCCAGCTTAATAATCTATCTACGTTCTTGTATTTTGAGTTGTAAAATTAAATAAATTTTATAGCAAAATAAAATTGATTCATCATAGGACTGGTTCATCCATAATTCAACATCCAATGTAGAGTATATTAATCAGCTGCTCAATTTTTCTCTCTCCCTTTTGTATGATGTTGAAAACCATTTTATGATTCAAACTACTTGATAAAAGTGTAGAGGTGTCCGAATAGCATTGGAGTGCTTGTCATTGTTTGGCCAAACTCAGTCTCAACATGACCTAAGATGACCGTGTCATGGAGCAACATATCTGAAGAGGCAAGTTGTCTATGTAATACCCCAAATTTTATGTGTGAATATTAATTGAGAAATTATTATTTTACAAGTGCTATCAATGAAAAATAGGACCCTGCTATGGAATCATTCACATTTTTTTCTGATTTTTTTCGCATATTTTTACTCTTATTTTTGTCTAGCGATATAAAGTACACCTCAAGAGATCGACAATAGAATTTTTTAAAATTCATGATGAACTTTGAGCTAGTTTATGTTATATTTTGAAGATCAATGATCACACTGTTCAGGGCTAAAACTTTGGAAACAACATATTTGCATGAGATTTTCCTAAACTATGCAAATTATTATTCTATGAAACGCATAGTACATGAATTAGGTTCCAATTTTTTACGTATAGAAGTCTGTTCCATTTCAGCATGAATGTATGCAAGTAACGTGTGGCCTTAGAAAGTAGTTTGAAGTTTAGTCCTGAAGGTGTTATAGTGTTGGGATTAGATCTTGTAACCTCAATACCGTTTTCGTTTTTTCTTATAAAATTAACAAAAAGAAAATAATGTTTGAACATGGCATGTAGCCTAAGGTTGGCAGGGATAGTGCTGGGGTTCTTATTTTTCTGGATGGTCTACCACGTTTTACACCTCTATGTATACAATGTCCAACAATTCATAAGCAATAAGTTAACTCTTGTCTTGACAAATTTGAGATTATCCAAATAGGTTTTATATTACATCTATTGGAGGATTAGTTGCAACTAAATTCTTGAATCTTGATCTGTGCAAAACTTTTTTCTGGCTCTGTTCAACTGTTTCCATGTTAGTTTCCTTCATATGTTACTCCGTCAATAACAAAGTTGTAATTTTTTCTTATAAAATTAACAAAAAGAAAATAATGTTTGAACATGGCATGTAGCCTAAGGTTGGCAGGGATAGTGCTGGGGTTCTTATTTTTCTGGATGGTCTACCACGTTTTACACCTCTATGTATACAATGTCCAACAATTCATAAGCAATAAGTTAACTCTTGTCTTGACAAATTTGAGATTATCCAAATAGGTTTTATATTACATCTATTGGAGGATTAGTTGCAACTAAATTCTTGAATCTTGATCTGTGCAAAACTTTTTTCTGGCTCTGTTCAACTGTTTCCATGTTAGTTTCCTTCATATGTTACTCCGTCAATAACAAAGTTGTAATTTTCTCAAGACTTGATACCTCATTAATAACAAATTTTTGTTGGCTAACATTTGTCTACAATCATAATTATTTTCTCAAATGGCAACTAATTCTTTGTTAAGTTCTCTTTTGCATGATCTATAGCAGCTAGTTTTCTTTTTCTGTTGTTTGACTTTCTCTCTCCCAAACAAGAGAATAAGGGGCAGAAACAACCCCATCAAAATTAGGCCAACACATGGGCCTCTACACTTCTAAATAGCTTAAGAAATTTAAAGCAGAAACAGTAGAAATTAAGTTGAAATTCAGATTACAGACCATGGCCATAAGTTCCTTATGTTGAATCATAAACAGGAAGGAACTAATAAGGGCCATTGCGGTTAAGTCTAGGAAGTTTTTACCTTCCTTTTCCTCTTATTGTTCTCAGAAGCGGCCTCTTCCAATGCTTTCAAACGTTGCTCGATACCCTTTTGATATGCCTCCATTCTTGTTTGCCTTTCTGTCATAGTAACAAAACCTGCACGTAAGTCAGCATAAGAGCTCTCAACCGAGTGGCCAAACTCTCATAATGTTGCTTCGACTCCTCAGAGAAAGAAGCGAACTTAGAAGTATGAGAAGCCAATGCCCCCGGAAGTAGTTTCCCAGCATTCAAATAACTTATCTAAGTCCTTCCTAAAGGCAGCTTTAGGTGGCGGTGGTGATTGTGAAGTCAAACCCTTATGAACATATTTGAATTTCCTTAAACAAGGAATTCTCTCTAGTCCATTCTTCAACACATGCCCAATACTCTTCAAAGTACTCTGGTTTAATTCGGAATTGGGGTGTGGGGATAAAGCAACCTCATTGGTGAAATCAACTTTGTAGTGGTTAAGTATGATGGAGATAACCATCCCATATCGAAGCCTTGTCTTTGTAGGGGACAAAACCGAAGTAGTCATCCCCGTGAGTACATAATGAGCTAAATTCGGTCTTTCACCCTTTATTACCATCCACATAAACCAAAGATACTCCTTAGTAACCGTAGAAATCTTACTAAATCGAGGCTTCAAATTGTATACTCAAATTAAATGCAAAATTCTCTCTTGCATTTTTAGTTTCTTGGCATCATTGTCAACATGATCTAGTTCTATCTCATCAAACTCAGCCTTGCAAGCAGCCTCCCTATCGAACTTTGAATTATACAATTCGCCCGAATATTCTAATTTAAACAAATCAAAAAGGGTTTCTTTATTGATGTCAATTATATAACCCTTCACAAAAGTGTCAAATTGAAGAGAACATGTCTCCCCACACTCTTCACTATGAAAAACTCGAGCATTTCCATTGGCATAAAACATTTGCACTAATTTTGAGTAAGTTTTTTCCTTAACTCTCAAGAAATCCATCCAACCAAATTCCTCGAATCGATGAATATAAGGAAATCCCACAGATTCTAAGAATGGAAAATCAATAACTCTTCGAGTAATAATTACTCTCTTAGAAAAGTTAGAATCGAACCTGTTGTTCCTCGCTGACATAGCGAAAGTAAAGCTAACAAGTCTTTATGGATAATAAGAAATCTCAGAAGGTAGAGAGAACTGCCAAGAGAGAGACAGAAATCAGGTTTGATTTATGATGCACTTCAAAGAAGGTAATACAAAATTGTGTAATCTTGTGTGAAAGCATTATAAATAACACATACATAAGAAAATGAAGGAATGAATTAATGGAAAATTTTTAAATTATTACTGAAAATATGTATTTACAATTTCTAATGTTTGATTAGTTGGTATTTGCACATTTATTCAACAGACACCATTAATTAATTAATACTATGTGATTATCCCACGTGCCATTTAATACTATGTTCCATTTCAATAAAACCTAGAAAATAATGAAAATATTCCACCATAAACAAGAATAATGTTATAGAGCACTAGTGGTGATGGAGCACTACTTTATGTGACTATACTTTATAGGTTCAATTAATGAGTTATATGACATTGTACATGTACATAATTGTTTACATAATGATGTCCATAATTGCACGTGGTATTGGATTAATCTTTAATTCAAATCCACACTTACACATCAACAACCGAATGATTGTCACATCCCATTATGAACACCATTATGTTCAAATTTATGTATAAGTAAAAACAATACTCCCATTTTTTCTTAATACCATAGATTTGTGCTTAATATCAATGGTGATGAATAACGATACTCCCATGAACCATATCTGTTGTCCAAAGTGCTATTTTTGTGGGAGGATGAATGTAAATGAATTCCATTTTTTCTTTTTCAAAAACAGTGATCTTTCAGCTCACAACATCTTTCTTCTTGTATTTCTTCAAATGTTTCCGTGTTGGTTTCATTGAAATATTACTCTATAAATAAGGGAGCTGTAATTTTCTCAAGAGCTTAATAATATTTGGTAACATTTTCTCTTGAGAAGCATAAATATGTCGTTCATTTTATCATATTCTCAAATATCAACTAATTCTTCCTTAAATTATATATCATGAAACATTGTTTTTTTTATTTTTTTCACATGAATTTGATTTTTAAAACTTTATATATTATAAGATAGTATCTATGTTACAATATATGTTAATCATAGCAGAGTATCATATACATGAGTGAACATAGTTCTATTTATGCGATTTTTGAACTATTTTCGATTCAAACCATTTATAACGGTTAATAAAATTTCAAACCAAATCGATATTTGCAATTTGATTTGGTCTCAAATCACAGTTTTAGCAACATGAAAATATATTTTTAAACAAATGAAAAAAAAAATATTGATTTGAAATTTCACTATTACAATTAAACCAAAACATTCCAAACATAAAAGTTATAACAATAATAAATTTGTCTCCACACAAACTTAAATCAATAAATCAATACAAGATTCAGCAGTAGATAAGCAAAAAAATTTCTCTGACTTGAAAGAAAATTTGTTGCAGTACAAATTGATCAAAATACAAAATTAACAGCGAAGGTTTGAAACCTTTCAACATAGTGCAAATAGTACCCAAACTTTTACATTTTACTAGATAGCCCCCCAAACCTTTCAAAACTATGCAATATAAGGACATTTGGATGGTTTTCGTCTAAAAATTCATTAGTTGATCAAACGTCAAACGTTTGACCTTAATTTGACCAATTTTAAAACCAGTAACATGATAACTTTATATTTTTCACCTAAATCAATTAACACAAGTAAATAAAAGAAACAAAAGAAAGAGGAAAGAAATTAAAAAAAATGTATATTTTTAAAGGATTAAGTAGATACTAACTTTATAGTGTGTTAGATAGAAAAAGATCTACATTTGCATGTGTATGCTAGCGTTATGTTCTAGATTTAATCGATTTAGAATGTAAACAAATTTAATATGTTTAATGCATTTATTTTGGCAAGATCTACTATTTATTTGAATCACTATTTTAATAAATGATATCAAAATATAGAGTCTGTATATTAAAGTCTTAATGATTTGCTAATAACAATGAGTTTTGACTATGAGATAAAAATTGCATATGACTGAATTTTAAATTATCCATTGTCGTATGTAATAACGAGATACGGATACGTTATTACTTGTAGACCATCACATGTGGCATTTTTTACTTGTGAAGGTTGTAGGTGATCTCATAAACTAAAGTGTGGTGATACTTAAATGAATATGTAGATATTTTGGTGATACTAAAACATTGGAGACCCGCTTGGGAGGACATGGATAAGTTAAGTTGACAATGAAATCTTTAGTTAAGGTGTACTCATAAATCGAAAAGGAGTATCGACTTATTTTGACTTAATAGTGGAATGAAATATACGACCGATAATTGAGATTGACATATATCCATATTTTGTAATTGATTGAATCATATTGATGAAAGGATTATAGTTTCACGATAAACGAACAAGTTTAGTTTTTCACACCATGTGACGTTTCCCATCACGTGTTTTCTCCGACACATTGCTAGATGTCTGATAAATGTTATAGACTTATTCAAGGCCTTTAAACGATAATATTTAGTTGTTTCTTGAATGAATTATGGTCTAAATTGTTGCATTTGGTGTGGAATAGGTAAAATTCAATGATAGTATAAGAAACTCAGAAGAAGAGCAAGATCCAAAGTTTGAGGACCAAAATGAAAATACTCAAGAGTTATATTGGACCTCACGATGAAGATTCAAGAGTGTTCGGAGTCAATTGAATAAAGAACGACATCAAAGGGACGAAATATAATTAATGTATGATTACATATCAAGTTTCAACCGAAAAAATTTATGCACCGTTTTCAGACTCACATTGAGATCCATTTTTGACATAGCAAGTGATCAAATTTGAAAATGTAAAGAAAAGTTGTAGCTCTTTGAATTAGGTTTCCAACGCATCTTGAATTGTCTCAATCGGATATCAGAAGAAAAGGTTATGGTAAAATGACTGAATACTGTGCAGTGCAATCAAAGCTGGCGACAGTGCCCAGACGCTATGTTTCTGATTATTTTTCTGAAAGTCAGAGCCCAAGCACCCAATCGCAGCGTCTAGGTGCTTCGCTGTGTCAAATAAGGTTTTTAAGTGAAATTTATCTTTTTAAAAGCCCAACTCAACTAAAACTTTTCCAAAGCTTGAATAAGGCATAAATACAACCATAGAGAAGATAATTGAGGGGGATTCCACACATTGAAAGAAAAAAAATACAACTTGAGATTGAGAGAGCAAGATCAAATGAGAGAAAACACATAATCATCAAGATCAAAGAGCAAAAGTTAGAGATTGAAGACTTTGAAAATTGAAAAAGATTCTTGGTACAAGATCCAATTTTTTCGATGATCAAAATTTCAAAACTTAATTATGAACTCTATACCTTTTATTTTTCTTTCATTATCATGAATAGTTAAATTTATTATTAAGGCAAACAATGTAACCTTTTGAGACCCTTTTTTTATTTTATTCAAAATTCAAGTTCCTTTACGCATATGTTTTGATTTTAATTATGTTCTCAATACTTTGAATTTTCTAGCCAATTATTCAATGATTTCGTGAACAATAATTACGTAGAGATGTAGATTATTTGTTTAGACCACATATTAAAATTCAATAAATTAGTATAACATGTAAAGATAACTATATTAATTACTACGGTCATATATGAATTCTTAGAACCAATCTTTTTTTTAAACTAAGTTTGGTTCGCATAGAGATACGAAACTGAAATAGTTAAATAGGCTCAATAACAACTCGAGAGGGGTAAATTGAATACAAAAGGAGAATTCGATCGAACACTACCTTAGACTTTATGAATCTTAATTTAAGACTTAAAGATGATCCATAGGTGAAATTGTTTCGCCCTAATATCCATTTACTATTTCAATTATCAATCGATCTTTGTGTGCATCCACGTATTCTAATGTAGTTAGATTAAAAATCAAATCATAAAAATCATTATATGCTTTGTCAAATAGTAGTTAGAAAGAAATTAAATTAAGTACTAAGGTATAGTCCTCCCGAAAACGATAATTCGGACTCATTGATCCATTTGTTACTTGTTACGATTCGTACACTTGCGGGATGTAAAATCGACAACAAAATCTGGAACGATGAATGCGAGCTTGTGATAAATTAAAAAAATGGTATTTTAATTTAGTAATTTTGATTGGATTAAAATAATATTTCACGACATTAGGCATCATAATTGGAAACATAATGGGTCACATAAAAATGAGAACTAGAAGAATGATATTTACCAATTAATTAATTGACAAGTGTTGGATAATTAATTAATTGAGTTGGTTGTTAATATTGTCGAGTTAATTAATTAGATTAATTATTTCATAGATCAAATTTAATTAATTGAATTAATTAAATATTGAAACGGATTAAACTAAGAGATGGGTCAAGCTCGTTTGGACTTATATTAATAGGTTGCTAGGATTTGAAAAATTGTAGAAAAAACAATTCATATTCTTGCTAGCACAAGAAAAAGAAAAATCTTAGTTTTCTCAATCTTGTTCTCTGTGTATATTTTCATTGGAGGATGGACAATTGGACAATTGTAAATTGCAGATCGTGATTGTTCGAGTTCAAAAAAAATAAAAGAGTTTGCAGAATTCAACAAAGGTACAATTCTTTAACACAATTTATCTCTAAGCACAAAGAAGATCCTTGGTGGGAATCGAAAATTTTGTTTAATTTTCATTGTGCATGTTAAGTAAATTTTCAACAATGGTATCATAGCCTACTTTGTGCTTGTTAGAAATTGTTTTACATATTGAAACAATCAAAAGTTGATTATTCTTATTGTTCTTGAATTTGGCAATTTAGAAAATTATATTTTATCTTCAAGAATCTTTTTTTAAAAGAAATTTATTTTTTGGTAGAAAACACAAAAGGGTAGTGGTGAAGGGCCACCGTCGCGCTGGCTCGCCCGTCGCTTGAGCATGGCGAGTTGTGCCGTAGATAACCTTTGCAGTGCAGTCAAGAGAAAGAAGAAAAAATAAGAAATTTTTTTTTAGGTTAGGGTTTTGGGGAGAAGGTAGAGGCGGGGCCTCTGGTACAATTTGTGAAATTGCAGCCCATCGGATGTAAATTAAATCTTAAGGGTTATCTTGCAATTTTAAAATAAAGGACCTGTCCTGCATTTTTCAAAATTGAAGGAACTGCTTTTAATTTTAAACGTAGGTCAAGTTGCAATTTTCAAAAGGGGGTTTTGAATTTGAATATTAAAAGTTTTTAAATTGTGTTTTAAATGGGTTTGATCTATATTTTAATTTTGACCCAAAATTAAAATTTTATTTAACATTGACGACTTTTATATTTTTGTTTAAATTGGATTTTAACTTAAATATTACATTTTAACCATAAATTAAATTTTATTTTTTTAAAGGAATTTTACCATAAATTAAAATGTTAATTTAATTAAAATTAGAGTTGGATTCTAATTTGATATTTAATTAAATTTTGACTTTAATTAAAATTGTCCCATCCTAAAATTTTGAGGAATTAGAGTTGGACTCTAATTTGGCATTTAGTTAAATTTTGTTTAATTATATAGTTTTGTCTATAATTGTGGAAATAGAATTGGACTCTAATTCGATATTTAATTAAAATTTAATTTCAATTAAATAAATTTGATAATTAAATTAATTGATTAATATGTTTAGTTAATTATTTAATGATTTTTGATCCATTTATCTAGCTGAATTTAGACGACTATAATTGCGTGATTCTTGAAACATGTTTATATATAATATTAGATATTATGTAGGAATACATTTGTTTGATAAATGTTTATTTAATGGATAATTATGGACTCGGTCATATGGATGTGTTGATTGGTTAATTTTACTATTGTTGTTTTATGCGCCTGGGTGCCAAGTAGTGTATGATACAAGTTGTACCTAAACTAATTGAAGATGTAAGAAGAAGAGGAAACCATGGACATGGTTCATTGACACTAATTCATTGCAATACCCCCTAGGATTTAACCAAATACTCTTCCTTTTTGGCTCGAGAAGGCCAAATAGAATTAGTTCATAATCATCTACATTATAGTATGTATGTTTATTTGCATTTTTTATGCTTGATTATATGGATGACACCTGTGCATGATAAATCGCCTCGCTGAAATAGTATGTCAAAATTATTATTTTCCTTCAATCATTACAGTGAAAAACGAGAGTTCTAAATCGATCTCAACTTGTTAAGTACTTTAATGCTGGTTTAGTAGAGATATATTTGACACTATGAAATATTTAATATTTCTGTATAATGAGTTCAACCTAACAAAAATATATTTTTTGTTCAGTACACTTAAGAAGTTAAATTCTAAAGCATGTTAAGCTAAGTCATAAAATGTGTGAAGACAAAGAGTTGTCAGTTTAATGATCTGGGAGTTGTATGGAAATACAATTGATAATAGTATCTATCCAAATGTTTTATTAAGGTTTGTTGAATACACTTAAGTCTTAATATATCGATGGGATTCCAACCCATTGGAATCAAGTATGGACTCTATTAATTAATATATGAGGATCATAAATTTATTTTAAACAATGAAGCATATTTAATTTAAGTATATTTAATTTATGCAATGCATTTTAATACACATTAATTCTTTACTTTTCGTCATCTACAATTTTTTAATCATGAGTAATCCTATGAATTTGAATGGCATACTAGATGTCAACAAACTGATCAGGTCAAATTTTCTCGATTGGCACCACAATTTGAGAATTGTTCTCAAATATGAGAAAATGGATTATGTCCTTGAGCAACCTTTTCCAAGAGTACCTACTAAAAACTCGATTGAGGAAAATGTGGCTGCTTATAATGAACACAGTGATGACAATAATACTGTAGCATGTATGATACTTGTAGCTATATTGTCTGAGTTGCAAAAGCAACATGAGTGTATAAATGCTTTCACTGTGATTTTTCATCACAAGAAGTTGCATGATGAACAATCACATATGGAAAGTTATGAGACTACGAGAAACTATATTGATGTAAAATGGCAAAAAGATTTTTAGTCAGTCTCATGTGCCGAACATGATTGACTTTATTGTTTAATAATGGATCATGAATTAAGTATTGACTTTGTTTTGCAATCTTTGTCAAAGAGTTATTCACAGTCCATCATCAATTTCAACATGAATAAACTAGAGTGCACATTCCTTGAGTTGATGAACATGCCCTAAGTCCAATCGATTTAGGTTATAAAAACTTTTAATACGTCTAATGCATTTATTTTGCAAGATCTATTATTTATTTGAATCACTATTCTAATAACTGACATTAAATAACTGAGCTGTAGTCCCCTCCCCCCACGCCCAATAACATTTTTTTAAGGTGTTTTTCATTTTTTTTTTGGGTAAAAAAATCAATTTTTTATGTGTAAATAATTATTTTTTTTCAATGTAGTAGCCCAATTTGAAATTTATAGCCCGATCTTGGATCCAATCCTGGATCCGTCCCTAGTTAAAAGGGTTGTTAATTGAACTTTGTTTCATTGATGATGAAGTTATATTATATTCTAATAGCCAAATGCTATATACTTGAGCTGCAATCTAGTATTTCATGCTCGTTCTAAGTTTATAAGCGAAATTTTATTTCATTTATGATGTTATTGAAAAGGGGATGATTAAACTCGAGAGAATTCCAACTTATTTCAATCAAGCAGAAATGGAAACTAATGTTCTTACAATAAGTTCGTTTAGTGACCGTTTAAGGTTGCTAAATTTGGTATTTTGGTGATATTGTATCCGTGAAAATGTAAGCATCAGTGCATCAGAGAAAGTTCATAGTTTCCTTAATTATTTATTTATTTTTGTCTAAATTATTAGTAGTTCGTGGACTTGGTTTTTGGACATTGATTGGGGTTTACTAAAGAGCAACACATTGAAATACTGCTTTGGCTTTAAATTAAATAGATATTGTTATAGTTTGTTGAACACGTGTAGAGGTACGAAAAAGTTGAAATTGTTATTTAATTACTTTTTCTTCTAGAAAAACGAAAATTTTGTTGAAGAAAAGGGCATGGGAACACATTGTTGACAAGAAATATGGCGATTAACCCGATATTATTGTCATCTTCTTCATTTCTTCCCATTGGAAACATAGAAATGCTATCTTGAATTTCCCCGCATCGCACAAAATAGAGCAAGAATTTATGGATACAACCACCATCATTCCACCAATATTTATTTCAAATTAAAACATAGACTTTGAAAGGTGTTAAATGAAGGGCCTGTTTGACTTGTGCTTCATTTTTCATTTTTCAGTTTTGATTTCATTTTCAGTTTTTTATTTTAAAAGTCTGCTTTAAAATTGTTAAATATGTGTTTGGTTTTTAATCTCGAAAGTTTTTTTTTTAGAATTTTTATGGAAATAATAATTAAGAGATTGAACTGTTTTTCTTTTTAAATTAATTTTTTTTATAATTTTATAGTTTTTTATTTTTTATATTTTAGAATTTTTTTAGAATTTTATTTTCGAAATTTTTATCACGTTTTCAGTATTTTACATAACTTGGCGCAGCCACAATGCCCATCATTGGCGCTTCGGTGTCCCGATTAAGAACTTGTTGGCACTGCAGCATCAACTATTTTGCTCCTGTTATTTTCTAGTTGGGCGCTGCTCGTCATTCCTTGGGCGCGCCCAAATGCGTGCCTTGATGCCCACTATAATGTCCTTCACTTCTTGGCCTTGTTTTCTTGCCTTTATTCCACTTCCTTCTTCTCTTCTTCTATCTCCGCTCCATGCCTACTTCTATGATCAACAATTTAGCTTCATTCCATGCTCCTAAACACTTCATTATCATCAAGTTACCAAAACTACAAAACAACATGAAGAAACACATCAAAACGCTCAAAAGTGTTCAAGAATAAACCGAAAACTAAGCTTTAAAGATGGTAATTCAATTAGTGAAATACACTAATCAAACATTCCCAAACTCAATTCTTTACTTGTCCTTGAGCGAACACAACACAACACAGCACAACATAATAATGTGATTAACAAACACGCAAGTAACATTCTATTCACACAATTTACTTGAGTAGCTTGTCTTTATAGCTTAGGATTAAAACATGATATTGAACTCATGAACTACTTCAAAGTTATAATGCAGAAGTCAAATTCTTACCTTTGTAATGCAAAATGGGTATGTATATGTTAAGAATCAAATACAATGCTATACGATCACAAGTTAATTCAATTCCTGACCTTAAAAGTCAAAACCCTCAAACTTAGTATCTTCCTATTCTCTTCATAAGGGTGTATTCTAAGGTTTTCTTCATTTCACTAGTCTTTACCCTCTTTAGTTTGGTCAAGTTTTCACCTTTGTAGTTCAACACATCAATAAATGAAGATTATACTTATTTTCGATTGCCTCAACCTCTTTCTAATCAAACAAGTTGCTAACCCTGAGTCAAAAGCCTAATCCTATAAAAACAAGTGCTGGAGGTTTAATCAAAGCATGTAGTGCGCATGCACCCTTTTTTTCAAAATTTTTTGTAGTGCATATTCTGTTTTATGCACTAACTTGATCCCCTTTTAAATTTTCTTTTTGGGATTTTCAAAAATTGCCCTCATTGGGATCTTTTAGTAATTTCACAATAGGGAAGCTTTTTCCCTTTTGCAGTAATTAGTGCAATGCTCCTCATTAAATACCTATTCTCGAGAATCAACCTCTAACGTAGGGTTTGCACTCAATTTTCATCCTATTGGTTTCAAACAATCCATTCAAAATTTAGCACACACGGAATCTTCATCTACATCCATGTCTCCCTATAGTAGTTCAACTATCTAAACTATTCTAAAGTCAGTTAAAGGATGCAAATTTTAATTCCGTGGTTGTTTGGATTTACCTTTTATGGCCAATAATTCAACCTTTATCATTTATAAATCAACTTATTCCTGTCCAACATTATACTTAATTCCTGTGCATTTAAGTCAAATTTTGCAAGGGTAAATAAGACTTCAATTCGAGCACATAGCCTATTCATAATGCACAACTAATTCATACCTCTAAATATATGCATCATTGCCAATAATGCTATCTTACACACACAAGCATGTAGATTTTTTTTTTATTATTTTTTCTTTTTTCTTTTATCATGGATGACAGATGCATGAGTCACGTAATTAAAAACAAACACACAAAAGCAATTAAATAGTTAAGTGACAAAGAAATTAAAGTATCACTCCAGACTTAAATAACGCATTGTCCCTAATGTGAAATTAAAAACAAAGGGAGAGAAATACCTCAGTGAAGACATTAAATGTTGTTGTTGTCATTGCCGTCTGCCTCTAATGGCGCTAGATGGTGAGAATGAGATGGGAGTAGCAATGGTAGAAGGACGGTAAAGTTCGGGATGTATAGAAGCCATGACCACAATGCAAGCATTTTCATAAAGGAATTGTTCGTAAATGGAGTTATGTAGCTGATTCATTTGTACTTGCATTCCTTTTTGCCACTAATTCATTCCTTCGTGACATCGGTCATGCACAGGTCCATTGCCTCAATCCGCCTAATCATATCCCTTATAGGGTCTCCAGCATATGGAGGTGGGGAAGGTGGTTTAGATGACTTAGATGAGCTAGGCCTATCCTGATGCCCTACAAGCTTATCCTGCAAGTCCTACATTAGTGTTAGCTTGGGATGTAACACCTCATTTGATTCCTGTGTGGTCATATTCCCTTGTACATAGAGATCATGGATATTGTTCTGAATGACCTTACAAATTTCAATAGAGTAATCCCTTTGAATTGCATAATTCAATAGAGCATGTTCCTTTGTCACTCCACTGATGTTGCTACTTGGAACTAGTTTGGCTTGTATAAAGTGATGCCGAACTTTACAATTAATTGTTAAACGTAAAGCAAGGACGTTCGTCACATCACTAGAAGACCTTTTCCATTATGTTCCCTCATGAGTAAGTGTATGAAGTAATATAGTGGGTTCAATCCCTATCTCATGTAACATGGAATAGTTATCATCGTGTATGTCTCAAGTTTGGTAGAATTTGTTGATTGAAACAATATCAAATTGGATCCATTGACCCTAAACAAATACATTAAAGTCTGTGTATTCTCCAACATTGGCATAAAACTCTTTCGCCAAAGGTATCGAAGTTGCTCCTGGTTGTTTGGAAAAATTTCCCATCCCAAACTCTGTATTTTCTCTGCCAAAAGGTTTTTGAAACCCCCCCAATAGATCACCATTTGTTTATATCTTTCCTCATCCTCAAGCCTTACAAACCATCTCCTATCATATGCAGCAGTGGATGAGGATCCCTGTGAGTTTAGACCTCTTCTTAGGTGGCCTTTTGTAGTTTTCCAAATCAATTCACAATATCTCCCAAGTTAATTGATGTGATCTAGGAGCCGCAAGCGTCAAGGTCAAGTCCAACTTCAAACCCGAAAAAAGATCCGTTGATAGTCGAGGGCAATCCAATGACTCGAGCGAGGACAAAGTGAGTAAAAGAGGTGATATGATTGCTTGTCAAGACAACCGTTGATGAAATCGTATTCGAGACATAAGATGGAACAAGTTTCATGTTGGGGTCGAAGATTGAAGAGACTTGTATCAACATGTTAAAGGCGGGCGCAGACAGAGTGGAGACCCAAAGTTGTGCGACCGCACAGCACAAATGGCCTGCGATCGCACAGATCTAAGCCGAGAGTTGAAGGGGACTGCGACCACATGGAATTGAACCATGCGACCACATGGTTATTTTAGACGCGTTTTTTTCCCTAGTTTTGCTAGAATTCTATATTTAATTGATTTCTTAACATATTTAGGAGATTATGCACAAAATTATCTAGATTCTTAGGACTAGTATAAATACTCTTTTTATTTTCATTGTAAAAAAAAAAAAAAAATTTGACATATTGATTAATTGAAAGGCTTTAATTGCTTTCTCTTTATTCTTCCAATTGAACAACTTTCAAACTTATCAAGATCTAATTCTTATGGCGTTCAAATCAATCGGGTGAGATTCCATAATTTTGCGTAATCAAGAGGTCC